GTTAGAGATAGGACAGCATACAAATAGTTTGGGGGGCTGTGCTCCACATTCCTTAGTGGGAGGATGCTGCTGGTTTCCAAAGCAGTAAAAGCAAATAATTATTATAACATACTGGGAACCTGTTTCTGTCATACACAGCTCTTTTTACATAAGCAGGTGGCAGTGGAACTTCTCCAAATGCTGGGATATTATTAAATGCTTGTACCTCTGGTAGTAGGACAAAGGGCTTATCTCCTTGGAGCGTTCAAAGTAGATTTATTCTGTAATCCAGCATCACTGTATGCAGCAGAGTGCACCAGCATTGTAGCATCAGTTATACCAGTTTTTGGACTTTGATTTTTCACACTATCTTACTGTGCAATAAAGATAACTTCATGAATAATAAACCAGGCAAGTCTTGAAAGTTTCAGAAAACTTCAGCTGACCTGGTAATGAAATAAACCTATCAGTACATTTTTGTTTGAGTTCAACTTGTAGATTTCAAACCAGACAGTTGATTCAGCTGCCTTACTGTAACTTTTTTTGAGATGGTGGTAGTCTTAAGACCCCTTCCCAGAACTCACTGGGTGTTTAACTATAATTTTTGATGAAAAAGGTCACTGTCATAGCTCAGCTGCATCTGATTTTCAGTTCATGCACATATCTGTGTACACACATGCACACACATTTCCTTTACTGTGTGGGTGGGAGACAGAGAAGCCAATAAACCCCTTTATTCATTATTTTTCCCTTGTGATATCATAGCCTTGAACTGCAAGTTTCACACAAGTCTTCATAGAAAGCATCCTCTAATTTGAAAGATACTCTTCTGTCTACGAACACTGAGTAGTCACTCTTGGTCACCCAGGCTCTGGATAAGCATGGATTCACAGCCTTCTGTAAAGGCCCGGCTTTCCAAGGCCTGTGCAGAAATCATCCTCCATGTACATAAGGCAAACAGTTGATGAAGGAACATAAAATACCCACTTCTTCAATCTTATACTAAAAACATTCTGATTTTTTTCCTGTGAAGTTATATCAAAGCCTTATTACTGTTGCATAGGAAAGAATATAGCACTGCCTACAAGAATCTTCTAATAAAGAATACGTACTTCGTACACAAACTTGACAGGTAGATTTTCATGAGGATGAGTTTTGCCGAGAGAATTTCTATGCTCTTAGCTTTTCATTTATAAAAACAACTAATTTAGAGTTCACAAAGAGGATAACAACTTTCTGCTTGTTTCTAGGGCAGGTGTGAACAGTAACTAAACTGTTACCACACAGTTCATTAGCCAGGGGAAGTACTTGTGGAAAGAACAACAGGGACTTATCACTGAGGTCCAGCTTTTGTAAGGGGAAATCAGCTAGCATATGGGGTTCATGTATTGCTACAGAGGTCATGGTCGGAGCTGTGGATATCAGAATTGTCTCCCTGGTGGCCTGCGTCCAGCTTTTTCCAGCTCTTTGTCAGCAGCTAAAAACATGCATCATGCTAAAGGGAAAACACCATCAAATTTTGCAAATAACCAGATACTAGATAATCTGTTGTTTTCGCAGTGTTTGGATTTTGAAAAAACTATTTTCATTTTGCCCTTCTCAAAAAAGCTGACCCAGTTGGAGCAGGGTGAGAACCCTGCTTCAGCTTGTCAGGTTCACCCCCCGGTTCAGTTGGAGGTTAAAAAACAAAGAGGCATTGCTTGTCTGCAGCCACTGGGCAGGGCTCCAGCTGTGAGAGAAAGAGGAGACAGCATTTCTATATTCCCATGGAAGAGTGCTCTGAAGAACAGGAAAGCTTGCAAGCTGTAACCAGGAGATTGGGCTGCAGCAGTAAAATCTTGTCCCTTTCCTCTATGAGTTTTGAGATCATTGTAAGGAAATTACAGCATGGTAAATCCTTTTTCTTCTTAGGAAGAAAACACCTCTGTTAAATGTATACTTAAAATATTTCTGATTCTGGACCTCTGTGAGGATTCGGGAGGGTCTCAGTGTTTTGAATTATCATTTGTGATAGAGAGACCTAATCTTAAGCCTTCAAGAGCACCCTTACCTTTAAAAGGAATAGTCTGTCCCTGACCTGATGTTACATATGTTTTTAAGTAAGGAGAACCAGGAGTGAATTGCAGGGTCAAGAAAGCTACTTCAGAATTTTGAGTTTTCATCCCCAGATGTAGGAATCTGACGGGTACCACAACTTCATCATGTGTGTACATTATGTTCTGCCTTTTTTAAAGACCCTCTCAGTTTTGTAGAAATCATGCAGTCTGCCAGCACTGAGAACTGAGAACAAAAGATGCATTTTTTAAGTGACAGCTTACACTCCAGTATGTTGGCTTGAATACACAGTAGAGAATAAATTCTAATAAGCTCTCATACCCCAAGGTGCTGGGTTTGGAAGGGAAAGCTGCAGAGATTCACAATACTCAAGGACAAAATTATCTCATGGATAATCATCTATCCCTCATGGCATTATCTTATTGTTGAGAGACGGTGGTTTTCCTTCTTAAATGATCTCTGGCAGCCTGAATTCAATAATTATATCTTTGTAATGGTTCTTAAATAAGATCTCCCTCCCTACTTTTCATGTGGGAGTAGCAGAGTAAATGTACTTGAGAAGATGGTATACACGTGTTCTTCCAGCTGCTTTAAACATAGAAGTGTGTTAAGGAGAGGATTCTTCCACACTATTTCAGTATGACCATATCTTCTCAAGAGGTTTTTACCTTAACATTTTAAATTGTCAGCAGACAGATTATTTCAATATGAACATTAATTGATTGATCTTGCCTTAAAGTAAAGCTTGTCAAATTAAAAAGCACTGTAAGGAATAAAACCAAGAGAAACTAGGAAAATGAGAATTAATCTTACTGACATCAAAAAGCTGAAGAGAGTGTTTAAGGCCTGTTTCCTCACATATATATACATATAGTACTTACTCCCTCTTTACCCTCCTTCCTTTAAATTCAAGCATTCCAAGAGGCATTGGAAAAGTCACAGACCAGTTTTTCCACTCCTGTCACAAACCATTACCCCTGCACATCTTAAAATTTTAAAAATCCAAATGCTTGTACACAAATTAAAAAAGGTTCATGTATTGTGTAAGTTACACATAAAATCATGCTAAAATGTTAAAAAAAAAAACCCAAGCTATCTGCATTTTATAACATAGTATACTAACTTTTTTCCCCTTTCCAGCCCTTAACCTCAGTCAGAAGCTTCACAGGAAGCCAAAGTTTGATCTGTTTTAAAATGGAAAGCGTTCCTGTAATCTAAGCATTAATTTTAGCAATAAGCATGAAAAACAACCTTTTAAGTATTTTTCATATTCAGTACTAATTAGATCTTAGTTTAGGAAAAATCACTTTGTTAATTTGAATCAATTGCTGTTAGCTGCAGCGCAAGCGATGCCCAGTTTGCTAAGAAATAGAAGCGTATTTGCTGTGAAAGGCAGTACAGGCACGCCTGTGGATCAGGAAACAGGGTATACGCTATCAAGTATCACTATGGCATCTCACTAGTACCAGATCTTATTTCCTGGTGTTTATGATCCCAGACTGCTTTTGGGCCTGGCACCAGACAGAAGGGGCCATTTTATTTGTGCATCCCAGAATACAGGAAAGTAAAATTCAAGGGTCTCTTTTTCCCCCCACCCCGAGTCTGCTACAGGCAGCCCCTATCTGGCCCGTGAGAAGGTATTTGTCACCCTTTGTTTCCAAAGAGAGATGATAGTCCAAGCTATTTCTAAGTGACTTTGCCCAGTGGGTCCAGTACTGCAAAACTGGGGGCGGGGGGGAGGTGGGTGTGGATGAGAAGGAAGGAAAAGTATTTTGCCTCACTTCACGTCAACCATCGCTTTTCTCCCTTCCTCACTCCACAGTTTTACTGAAGACCATGAAAAAGTTCCTAGTTTACTTCATTTTTTTCCACAGCACTGTAAAAATACTATGTCCCACAAAAAGAGTGAAACAGTTTCTAAGTACTTTAGGAGAGCTTCTGAAATATTCATATCAAAGCATGCATTTGTCACAAGTGTTTATTTTTACTCTGCAAGTCGGAACAAGCCCTGGAATAGTCCATGATCTGCCAACCCAGCAGGTCCCATCTGCTCCAGGTACACCAGTGAACCCCTTACTACACTGGCAAGTCCTGGAAGCAGCTGTTGAACAGGTGTGCAAATGTAGGGGCGCCAAAAGACTTGCTACTGCCGAGCATCCAGCTCCATTTCAGTGAAATATAGGAAATACGTACTCCCTGCAACCTTCTTGCACTTTGAGCCATGTTAATCAAATGTATATTATACCCATTTTTATGTCTCCTTTGCAATTCAGTCACATGCATAAATCCTGCTATTAATTACTTACGGTGTGGTGCTGCCTCAAACACCTTCAATTCCTTTTCTGATTCCATCACTGAGCTCTAATTTTGAGCACCCAAAATTAGAAATGTAGGCATTAATTACGTGTGTCGGTTACAAAACCTTCACTTGAGGCATAGAGCAGAGAGCTGACAGCACCCATAGAGTTCAGTGCAACCTGCTACCGTAAACCAGATGTTCTCCCATCCTCAGCATCTCGTGTAGTTCGTGTTACATGTAAGGAAGATCCTCTGTGTCATCTTTGCTAACCTACTCACAAGAGAAGACTGAACGCTGTCTAATCCACGATACTGCGCAAGTGTGGATGTCTTCCCTTAAACTAAACCAGCACGTCTTTGGAAGGAGGTGAGGAGAGCATGGCTAGACCAGGGGAGAGGTTGCAAGTGTCAATTCCACCAACTTGATCCTGACTTGTAGCCAAAAGC